ACACACACACACACACACACACACACACACACACACACAAATACGCAAGCTTCACCTGTTAAGGAGCTGCACTTATGTTTCATTCCCTCTGCAGTCCTTGGGGAGGCTCTGTAGTCTTCATTAGACACGCACAGAAAGGCCGGGCAATTAATATGATTCTGCTCCCGTTGCTGATGCAAGACCTGCTTTCCTCATTTCAATGTAAACTCTAATTATTACATAAAAATATGAGATCTGCCCACAGATAAGTGTTCAATCAGCCCTTAAAGGTTTCAATTTGCTGCTCGGTTTCATTTCATTTCCTCTCATTCAACAGGCATCAGACAGGCACTAGTGTAACACAACTAAACTTGAATATAGAGTGGGGTCCAACATTTCTAAACCACTAATGAAAATGCATGTTTTGCCATTTTTTTTCAAATGCGATACTTTTTCATTACAAATGATATTATCAGTAGCCTATAACAGTTGGCTATTATCAATTTGTGTACAAAAAAAAAACATCAAAAGGAAATTCAGAATGTGTTTTACTTTAATAGCAGCAGCATTTGAGCTGGATGAGCACCACATGTTTGTGTCAAACCTTGATCGTGTTCTCCAACGTGATTTGAGATGATCCAAACTGCATCTTGTGCTTCAATGGAAGCAAGAACATCTGATCATCTGCACAAAGTTTCATTATCAAAGTCATATATGTGTATTTCATTAGTGACCTATAAATAGTGCAGGGTTTTAAATATTTCTTACATTTATGTTCCAAATTGTTCAGAAAATCTGTTTATTTTCAGGTTTAGAATCAAAAATCAACTCAGTAATTAATGAAACAGCTCCCCTAGTGATCCGATAGTAAACTGCAAGACACAACAAACTCACTAAAGGAGAACAGAACATACTGTGATTGACAGCTGTTTAACAGCTTGTGTCTCACTGATCAGTCAGGAGTCTCCACTCACAGCCAAATTACACTGTTACCTCCGATTTATCTACATTTCTAATTAGGACCACATACTGTTTATCAGATCTGCATTTATAACATCTGTGTGATTGATTCCCTTCTTTAAAACGTGTGATTGATTCTCTTTTCTCTATTGAGAAAAACACCTGTTTTCACCAGCTAAATCCTATGAAGAAAAGCGTTCACAAAACTTGCAGTTCATTAATAAATTACTGAAAACCTATAATTAATACAAAGCCATTTTTGTTGAGAGTTGTATTTAGAGAGGGAGTCCAAATTCCCCTCAAAATGCCACCCCGACACAATCATTTCAGCAACTGTCACATTTTAGTCCGTATTTATCTCTTAAGGATTTTGGAATTCATAAATGTTACATCAGATCAAATCCCAGCCCAGTGAAGCTTTAAGATATTTGACTTTCAGAAAGTAAATCTCAAATATAAACACACAAAACAGTGATTTTATAAAATAGTGTTAAATCTGTTCATGCAGGATATTATAGCTGCAGGGCCACTTATTCAGTCATCGCTATTGTTGAATCACATAGCCTACTGAGAAAAACAAAGACATTTGAGGGCTTTCTTAGGTTACAATTAAAATAATATTGCATATTATGAGATTTGTTTAAATATGTTGTTTATTTTAATTTTTTAATTTACATTTGTGTTATAATGTTTGTTAAGGATTCTCTTACTATAAAACAGTCATATTAAAACAGTCCAAAACAGTTCTAAACAAATATGATTTTGATGCAAGAGGACAACAGAACATGGACTTTTTCACTGGAGGAAGCTTTATGATGGATTTTGGATTTATTTATATCAAACACGCAGCTTTTTGCTTCATGAGACATTAACTGATGGACTGGAGTCCTGTGGATTAGGCCTACTTGTGGATTATTGTGATGTTTTTATCAGTTAACCTGTTTGCTGCAGGATACCATTGGTGAGCAAATTCTAAATTTCAATCTGTTCTGATGAAGAACAAACTCGATGGACTGACGGTAAGTACATTTTCTGCAAATTTTCATTTTGGGTGAATTATTCCTTTAATGTCTCTTATGTAGGCTATCTGGCTGCAGAGTAACTAGCTTAACATTGTAGTGAAATTACTTCAGAGAACATAAAGGTGCTGTTTACTGAGACCACACTTACTTGTTCTCTAGAGCTTCAGAGGCAGCCATGGTGCTCTCCAATTCTTCAATGCCTTCTAAGCGTTGCAACTCTTCTCTATAGAGACAAAGATAGTTTACTTTAATATTATTTACAGACATTACATTTTGTTGTGTGCCAACGTATGCTGTAATAAAAAATCTAAATAGCATAACATCAAACTTACTTTTAGTAGCATACTTATGTATTCATTTATATTTACATTTAGTCATTTAGCAGACGCTTTTATCAAAAAAAAATCAGATATATTCTTAGCAGGGGCGATTCTATTTATTGAGATGCACCTGTAGATAGGTATAACATATAACTGAATAAGCCAAATACAAGTCTTCATGATCTCACACACACATCTCTTTACTGTACACACACAAAATTTTACTGTTTGCAATTCTAGTACAACCCTCTTTCCTTAGCTCAAGTATGCAAACCTTTTTGCCACATGCACTGGAAAATTTATTACATTGAAAGCTATATTTTCAAATGAAAATGGCAACATGATCGTTTTATAAAGTATAATTATAAAGTATGCGTTCATATGTGCTTCATTTTCACTGGAGGAAACAGCTGTGGTGTGATGAGGGGTGAACGCAGCGAAAACTTAGGCTACAGTAGATGGGGAACCGATTTATATTTTGTAAACTGTATTTATGACAAAGAACAGAACTGCTCAGATGCAGATATTATAACAATCTATCGTTAAACACACACCTTGTCCTCTGTTTCTCGCTCTGCGCCGCCGCTGTGCGGTCTGCGGATTGAAAAAGAACGCAAGACGGGGAGGAGCCGATCGAAGTCTGCCGCCGTTTTCATTCGAAATTTAAAGGGGACTGAGGCGATCACGAGTTCGTGTACAGTTTATGGAGCTAATCGCAAAATTTTAGGGGGGCTGATTAGTCATAGCTATAGCCCCCCTAAAATGGCCTAGCGACGCCCATGATTCTTAGTATCACAGTGTGGTTTGAAAACGAATATTGAATCAGATACTGACCGGTCTGAAAGTGCTCCACTTGATGGACAGTCAATATTAGACAGTGCAGGAGCCATCAAATAATGCTTGAGATTTTTACACGGGGTTGAGGTGCGTGGACCCTCGTAGCTAAAAAAAAGAATATAACAGAAGTGTCTACCTAGCAATGTACATAAGCATAATTTCACCACATCAACTAATTCAGACACATTTGCATTTGATAAATTAAATAAAATTTCGTATTTGTATTTCGTAGTTTTCGTATTTTCCTGTCACAGTTGCTACCGATATGATAAACAGCCATGACCCGGCTGCACTTCCGCACTAGTCGGCCACACTGTCTCGAATAAACGCTGTTTTACCAACCAGGTATCACGAAACACAGTGTAAACGCGAGTACTGTCTGAATGTCGAATTAAATTAAAATATTCTTACTAGTAGCCAGGATACATCAGTTAACCAACTTTAGCTAGTTACTACCTGTCAAGGAGAAAATTTGCCAACTCAGCATTCGGTTTTAAACCTTTGTCTATTTTAAGCTGTCTCATCTCTCAAACGCATCTCCAATATTTATTCTGCTTTTATTATACCGTTGTTGATCATAAAGATTTTTGGATGGATGTCGAGGCTTTTAAGGATGGGCAGAAAGTTCTATTTCCCACTCTGACCCCTTTCATTTGCCAGCTTCCATGACTGAAATTAAATACGCTGTTTCCCGCCAACTGGCAACCCGGGGTGCCGAAATTCTCCAGTAGCCCTTCACTGCAGAACAAAAGATCCAGGGGGCGTGGTTGGATCCAGATCTAGGGGGTGGAGATTGGTAGGTTTAGGGGTGGAGATGGGTGGAGACGGATAGGTTTAGGTATATGTAAGGTGGGAGGTTTTGGATCTGGATCCAACCACGCCCCCTGGATCTTGCAGATCGGGGCGGGGCTGCATCTGGGGTGGGGCTGCACGTGTCGCCCCGCCCCATACCTACTCTGATTGGTTCGATCGTCTTTCATAGGCATACATGATAGGAAATGTGTGCGTAGTTGGTGTAGGATGGAGTATATTGTTTAAAAAGCTAAAAATGCTCTGCCGTTTTAGCCTTCATTATAATGCACAGTTGTTTATTGTAAACTTGACACTATGTCTGTTTTATTGAATCATGAGATGTTAGCTGCTGCAAATTTAATCTTCTGGACCAGTCGAATTCACAAATTAATCACTGAGACATTCTAAAACGCTTAACGTGAAAGTAGGCTATGTGGCTTAATGCATTAAAACGGTTTAAAAAAAAAAAAACTCAGTAAACACATTATTAATAAAGCATTCTATTCACAGACAAGCAGATATGAGCCCAGAATACAAACGCAGCACGTTTAATTATTCGTTCAGCATTTTCCTCCTATAACCTGCTTGTCTTAGAATGCTTTATTAAAAAATTCTTTTTTTTTTATCTTTTTAAAACACGTTTTAATGCATAACGCCACCTCACATGAAAACATACTATAATTTATAATAAATACTGTAGTGTTTTTGAACCATACTATAGTAAAGTGTATTATACTGTATATATTATAGTATTTACAACACTTTTTAATGAATGCTACAGCATACTGTAGTATTAACTACAGTGAACTGATAAACTGTAATAAATACTGTAGTATACTTTAGTTTTTACTACAGTAAACTGTAGTGTATTGTAGTATAATATGCCCTATATTTGTAGAAAACTTAGTACAGTATTGGGTAAAGTAATTTGTTTCTATTAGTATAGTTGTTATATTACCACAGCAACTAGGCTATAGAATTACCACAACAAATTAATTCAAGCACTTACTCTAGTATGGTTCAAAAACACTATATTTACTATAGAATTTTTTCATGTGGGACGTTAAGCGTTTTCCTTATAGGCTAATGGTTTTCTATGAGAGGAAAACACTCAACTCAACACGTAATTAAACGCATTGCGTTCTTAATCTGGACTCATCTGCTTGTCTGTGAATAGAATGCTTTATTAATAATGTGTTTACTGAGTTTGGTCTTTTTAAAACACCGTTTTAATGCATTAAGCCACGTTAAGCTTAGATGTCCCGATTCATTCCAGCTGATTGAAAAGAATCGGCTCAATATTGGTCACAAAATGGTTATCGGAGAAGATACCAATTTAATATATTTATATTAATTTAATATAAATAGATGATACTTTATAAAGTTTATCTCAATATTTGACCGCGGTGGCTGTGAGATTGTCGGATCTTGTTTGAGCTATAATGAGTCAAAATGTGATGTTTTCCAATCGACTGCAATTTTGCCCTGAAACCGGTCATATCAGAAGTTATAGCCTACATGGCTTATTCAAGAATGTGCATTTATTACATGGACTGAGCAAAAACATTTAAAAAGTGTCTAAAATGCGCGCGCATGATCTCTAAATAGTAGCCTACCATTGAATGATATATAAAAGTTTAACTTAACACTGTTAAAATGTATGAAACTGTTTGCTGAAATAACCACAACCTTAACAACTGCACTGAAAGAGCACGATGCGCATGAATTTGCGTTCGTTACTATAGCAACAGATTCCAGGTATGTTCTTTCAGAATCATCACTGGCCTGTAGAAATAAAAGGTTCTCGATTTCTTCACTTTAAAATAACGAGGAGCAGCATATTTTCCTGAAATAAAGGGGGAGGAAAAAGTCTATACTTCGCAATGTAGTGAAGAAAATTAAAGTTTCATAAAAATTAAAATGGCACACAGCAGACACATTAGCCTATTGCGGTGTCATTTATTAACTGCATGACAGATAATTATATGTAACTATAATTGTCTTGCCATGCAATATAAATTTAAACAATACTGATACATCCTTTTCATTTAATTTCTCATACTCTGATGAAATAATCAAATTTTCAAAAAGTATTTAATTCATAATTCATTCCTCTATCTAAAGACCTGATCCTACCACTGTGGATAATCAACCCAATTCATTTATTAAATGTAGTAGGTTGTTCGTCTGTTAGCCTAAAGACCAGCTTAATTGAGCAAAACAATCATTTACGGGACATGGCCAGTTGCAGGCTAATGTTTTTTTTTTTCGTCTGTGCATTATGAAGCCAAAAATTGCACAGCGTTTTTAGCTTTTTAAACAACAACAAAGCTAGGCGTGAGGACTGGAATTGGGACCCGCTGGGCTACATCATGTGTCATTCACCAGTGAGAAAACTTTAAAAGTACTACAATACCAGGAAGGAAGATCGGGTTGTTGATGTTTGCCTGCCATTCTCGCTCTGTCTGCACAGCGTGCGTGAAGGCGCTGATGACGTATCCCGTCTGCGCGAACCGGGTGCGCAGAGGTATGCTAATACATATGTTGACAGGCAGGTAGGAAAGTCAATTAAAACGCTCGGACCGAGCGTTTTGATTGGATGAACATTTCTTGGTCCTATGCCTTCCACAGAATATATACAGATAAATAGCCTACATTTAGACCACTTAACTTAATGATTGCAATCGGGATGTGGAGACTTTCAACCAGCATAACAAAGAATGTTTCTGAAGACAATCACCTCTTGCACCTTTAAATATTAAAAGGCCAACTTTGTGTATGTTATGAAGTAGGGTACTATTTTTCTTTGCCTTAAATTTAAGATACTACAACATTGATGGGCTGATCACCCTGGCTGATTTGTTTTGCGATAATGATCGACTGACTACATAATCCCTTACTCAAGTAAATGGCATTAATAAGCAACTTTTTGTTGAATGTCAAGTAGGCCTACTAGAAGAGTCAACAGTGATTGGATATTGAATCTTAGAACTGTGACACTCCAGCCTTATCTGCCCCCATTTTACCTGACATCAACCTACATAATATGATTTCACAAGAATATGTGCCTGACAGAGCTCTGACAATCCACACGAGTCATCGCTATGACACAAAAATGCAGGAGCTACTCCCTGCAGAGCTGTTTACATTCACGGAGAGAACAAACAGCGCCTGGGAGAATTTATACTGTTGAACCCCAGAGTAAGTGACCCTCCAGTGAGAACCAGGGCAGAACAAGCCTCTGGCCTTGCAGCACAATATCTGATCCAA